GTGCTGTTGTTAATGACGCTGTTAACATTCTTGTGTGTGAGTCTCATGTGCATGTGCACGCGTGTCTGGTGGAGGTATGTGTGCACACGCGTGTGTGTACATGTCTCTAGAGGTGAAATTGCTGGCTTATAGGTTATACATATCTCCAATTGCAGTAAACAGCTGAATTTTTTTTTTCCCCAAAGTGATTGTCCATTTTTTTTTAAAGGAGCCATATCATTGGTAATTTGTCCATATTGGTACAAAAAAATGCGCCTCTTTATTTTTATTTTATTTTATTTTTAAGTAGGTTCCATGCCCAATATGGGGCTTGAACCTAGGACCCTGAAATTAAGAGTCACATGCTCTACCGACTGAGCCAGCCGGGCGCCCCTGGATGTGCCTCATTATTTTTAATTGTACACAGTTACCATCACAGGGACATAACCTGGGTTTGTTGAACCTGCTCTCCTTTGGTGGCTAGACTTACAGTTGATCTTACTGCTTTGCTACCAGGAAAATGCCACAACCCATATCCTTTTTTTTTTTTTTTAATTTTTTTTTTCAACGTTTATTTATTTTTTTGGGGACAGAGAGAGACAGAGCATGAACGGGGGAGGGGCAGAGAGAGAGGGAGACACAGAATCGGAAACAGGCTCCAGGCCCTGAGCCATCAGCCCAGAGCCCGACGCGGGGCTCGAACTCACGGACCGCGAGATCGTGACCTGGCTGAAGTCGGACGCTTAACCGACTGCGCCACCCAGGCGCCCCACGTTTATTTATTTTTGGGACAGAGAGAGACAGAGCATGAATGGGGGAGGGGCAGAGAGAGAGGGAGACACAGAATCGGAAACAGGCTCCAGGCTCCGAGCCGTCAGCCCAGAGCCTGACGCGGCGCTCGAACTCCCGGACCGCGAGATCGTGACCTGGCTGAAGCCGGACGCTTGACCGACGGCGCCACCCAGGCGCCCCATATCCTTCTTCTTAATAGGTAGTCGATGAAAAAACACTGATTTTTTTTTTTAATGTGTATGAAAGCATACTTGCTCACTGAAGAATAATCTGTTAATTACAGAAAAACACAAAGGAAATAAATCCCTATGATCTTGCAGCCAGAGAGAACAACTGTTCTTTCTATGTTGTGTATATTTCTCTAGCTTTTTTCCTTTTTCTATGTCAATTGCATTGGGATTTTGGAAAAACCATATATTTTGTGCCTTATTCAATTTAATTGAATTTTTTTTATGATTTTCTGTCATTGAAATTGGAGGGCATTGACATGTATCACCTTGTGTTGTGTTATTACTGACCCTTCAGTGATGTGGGCACACGGGTGTGGTGTTTTACATCGTAAGAGTGAGATCACCCCGGAAAGGTTATTTTTTTAGAACAGTAGGATTTAAAAAGTTCCGTTGTTTAAAGTTCCATTTAAAAAACTATTACATAGTGAAACCAGTAACTATTTATTTAACTTCTGCTCTTACAAATTCAGTCCATAAAGATCATTTGCACTGAGAAGCTGTCTTATTCTTACCTTGGTGACAGGAATAGTGTTTTTCGGAAAGGGAGATGTAATAGCAACTTATACGCCATTACGTTTTTCATCCTATTTCTAACAAAAAGTTATTTGAAACTGTGTCTTTACTCTGATGGTTTGACAGTGTGCGGGTCGCGGAAGCAGGCTGTAGCCATTGCCGTCGATGTGCCGCCACAGACACTGACTTTGAGAGACTTGGGTTCCTGTTGGGCCAGCTCTCGGGGGAGGACCTTCAGTGGTTCGGTCCCAAGTGCTCTCTGAAGAGTTTGTGATATTTCCAGTGCTGGCCAAACCACATCTCTGGGAAACATGACACACACACACAGTGGCTGGCTAAGAGAACTTTCCCAAACGGAGTCCAAAGTGGGATCTCAGGGTACGTGCATAGATTACAGCTGGAGCGGCCAACCGCGTGTGTTTTATCCTTTTCAGCTTCAACGTTGCCCTGTGGCACGTGTGGTCCTTCCTCACCCCGCTGGTGTTGTTCACTCAGTTCATGGGCGTTGTGATGCTGATCTCACTCCTTGGGTGATGTCCAGAGGTAAGAGTTCTGGAACGGCCTTTCTAACACTGAACTCACTGGACCAGTGTCTTTGGTGACCGCTTCCAGGTGGCACAGCAGTGACGGACCACTTACCAATTGTGCCTTCCTTCGACTCTGAGATGAAAGGGACCGAGACCCCTCCCCTTCTGCATAAGTTAGTTCTCCATGTTTCCGGGGTAAGGCACCCCGCCCTTCAGAGATGTCGTATTTACACCTTACGGTGTAGATAAGCTCCCACAGTAGGTCACTTTCTACCCAGGTCGGCTTCCATCACCTGAGACACACCAGACGACTGGCTAGGTTGCTGTTAGGGGGCAGGAACGTAGGAAGAACGGGCACTTTTACCCACTCGAGCTATTCTGGCTGCCTCTTAAAAATCTGACGGACGACCCATCAGCCTTTTTCTTCCGTGTTACTTACAGAATCTCTTGCTCCCCACGGACGACTGCCTCCCTGGGCCTGCTGCCTTACACGGCGGGGTCTGTCTGTCGAGTACCAGACGACTCCTTTATCAAATAAATATGCATGAGAGCACTCCCTCTGTGTGCTTAGGGACACAGTGAAAAAGCCAAGATCGGCCCTCTCTTTACGCAACTGACTTCAGAGCTGGGGGGAAAACTTCTTCATGTGTCAGTTTACAGGCATAAAAACAGGCCCAGAGAAGTGGATGTTAACATCCTAAGTAAAGGATTGGGGTGCATTTCAGCCAACAGCCTGTGCTCCCTTTGGAGTTCTAAGGGGAGTCACTGTACCCAAATAAGGGAGACACGGACAGAATCCCGTCGCTGCCAGGCTGCAGGTGGTCACTAGCAGGTGTGTGGCCCCACAGAGGTGGAGAGTCCCCTCTGCACACTGTGCTGTCCGGGTCTCTGGCGTCTCTCCCTTTGTCCGGGTCAGCATGTGTCGCCGCAGGACGGAGCCTCATCTGACCCCGTGTCCTGCTTTTCCCCTCCGCCCTGATACTGTTAACGTTTTCCGCCGTTCAGTTTTCAGTTTTTATGCACGTTCAGGAGCTTTCGACCCTTGACGTGAGTTTGTTTTTGGTAATGGAGAGCCAGAGAGCGTTACAGGCATGTGGACTGAACTGTGCTTTTTTTTTTTTTAATTTTTTTTTTAACATTTATTTATTTTTGAGACAAAGAGAGAGAGAGAGAGCATGAACAGGGGAGGGTCAGAGACAGAGGGAGACACAGAATCCGAAACAGGCTCCAGGCCCTGAGCTGTCAGCACAGAGCCCGACGTGGGGCTCGAACTCACGGACCGCGAGATCACGACCTGAGCCACCCAGGCGCCCCTGAACTGTGCTTTTTAAACAGGAAATCCAGCTGCTTAAAAGACGGACTGTCTCACTCAATATAAATGCTGGCTTTCTTTCAGGTGTAAGAGCGTGTCACTTCAACGCGAACGATTCAACACCCAGCCAGCTGGCAGCATCACAGGTGTAACAGAAGTGCTACAACGTGTCCTCGTATCTAGGAAGTGAGTGGTTTCCTCGGAAAAACTATAACGTTGCAGTCTGGTTGACATCAGAATAAATTCGATTTCGTTTGTCTGTCCTCACACTCAAGTGATTACTGAGTTTTTCACACTCAGAATAGAAATGTTCTGTTCAAAATAGAAATAATTAGTTTGTGGCGTCAATCTGATGAATCGTCGGAGAAAGTATTGGTGTAAACATTTAGGCAGAGTTTCGTGATAGGTACATGGTGTCCTCCCCAAATTGCAGAGTTGTTCGCCCTTTGATCGTATGCAATCACCGGGTGTGTATATGTAGGAATGATCATGTCATGTGCCTTTGACCCAGCTTCTGCAATTGCGATCTCATTTTTATAATAGTTTTGTTAGGTGACAGGACCACTTGAAAGCATTTTATGTGTTCCTGCCACTTTAGATTTTATCATGTGTAACTTACTGGGTTTCTAGCATTTGTTCAACATGGGCACTTTTACTCATTTTTAAGTACACGTACTTTTTCCTTAACATTTAAATAAAATATTTTTATAACTTTCCTGTGGGTTTTGTTACTGCAGACTTTGGGACGTTTGGTTTCAGCTGTTAGCACTTTGCATTAACCGTGTAAGTCTGCTCTGCTCTTCGGAGACCTCAGGAAGACAGACGCTTTCAAATGCAACTACATTCGCCTTAAACCTCACCGCCACGGGCTTTGTGGTGTTGATTATCATCTCCCTGACAAAGGGGACTTCGTGGAAGGCGTGGGCTAATATTTACAAAACACCCGCCACAGTGCCTGGTACACGTAGGTGCTCACTCCATTCATGGTAATGGAGAGAGAAAGAAAGACCACGTAGATCCAGGATCAGGGATGGGATGAGGCAGGCGTGACCAGCGGGCAGAATCAAGCCCAGCCTGTGTACACACACGTGAGGGCTTCCTCACAAGTAAGGAGCAAGGTCAGGCCCCCCCCCCCACCATCCCATCTTAAATTTTTTTTTATTTATTTTTTTATTTTTATTTTTTTTAATACTTATTTAGTTTTTGAGACAGAGAGAGACAGAGCATGAACGGGGGAGGGTCAGAGAGAGAGGGAGACACAGAATCTGAAGCAGGCTCCAGGCTCTGAGCTGTCGGCACAGAGCCCGACGCAGGGCTCGAACTCACAGACCGTGAGATCATGACCTGAGCCGAAGTCGGACACTCAACCGACTGAGCCACCCAGGTGCCCCCCATCTTAAATTTTTTTAATGTTTATTTATTTTGGAGAGCGAGCGAGCGAGCAGGGGAGGAACAGGGAGAGAGGGAGACACAGAATCTGAAGCAGGCTCCAGGCTCCGAGCTGTCAGCACAGAGCCTGACGCAGGGCTCAAACTCACATGAGACAAGACAAGACGAGACATGAGATCATGACCTGAGCTGGAGTCTGGTGCTTAACCAACTGAGCCACCCAGACACCCCATCCCCCCACCCCATCTTTTATTGCAGAGCATAGTTCCATTTGGATAGAAAGCTAAGGCTGTGCATTTCCGGACGCTGGTTTGTCAGAACCCAGAGAGCCAAACGCTGACGCTGTGGCCAAGAAGACAGTAAGATTACGCTGTTACTTGGAAAGAGACCTTTCAATAAGTTTTTTGAAACAGGATCATGTGTGGTCCCTGTTTCTGTTAATAACTGCCACGTGTGTTATTTAGGGGTCTGTCCCTGTTACTGTAACTGCTAAATAAGTACAAACGGTATCAGGCCGTCCTGTGGGAGGAGCACCACCCTTCAGAGTCAAGACAAAATGAGCACTTGTAAGTCCCCACCCCGACGGCCAACGATATGGTAGAGGCAGGTGCGTGCTCTTAAAGCTGTACCTGACTTTGGCCATCCCAAGCCTCAAGCCCAAGTCTCCTACCTGCTTGCACCCTGGATGCCCAGGCCTGCTGCTCAGAGGTGGTGGTGTGGTTGGGGAGCAGGGCTGTTCCACAGGACGAGTTCTCCAGGCGATTCCTGCGTGCAGCCCGGGTCGAGAACTCCCCTGTTCCAGTCCGTCTGGGGAGAGATCTCTCTGCAGAAGCTGGAGCCTTCGAATCGGCAGGGAACAGAAAGATCAAGGGATCTAACTTCGCTCACTAGGATAAAAACCAGACTGGGACTCCCCCCCCCCCCCCAACCCCCCAGTCTATGTCTGGGACCCAGCTCGGGGGACAGTGGTCTTTCTAAGAGACTAAAAGGATTTAAGACCCTGGCTGTGTCGGGGCTCTTTGGTCGTAAAAGCTCTCTTCAGCAGCAGCCAGGCACTGGAAGGGACTAGGGAAAGTTGCAAAGTGTCTGCAGGTGGGCTAGTGTGGGGGGACAGGCTGGGGCCAGGTGACAGAAGTTATTAGGTGCCCTCTGCAGTCCCAGTCCAGATAAATGCCTCCACTTAAAAACATTTTTCTCTTGAAAGACCGATTCAAGCACAGTATTCCTCGAGGTGGGAAAGAGTCTGGTGGATTCTAGGCCCACGGGATTCATCAAAACTAAAGGAATCAGCAGCAGGAGTATTTTGCACGCACTGAGGACTGACTCCAAAGGGGCAGGCGTTGCAGGGTTCTGGGCCGAGGGAAGGGGGGGCAGTTGGTGGGGGCCGCACACCCTCCTCACCCGAGTGTCAGATTCAGCCCCCAGGCCGAGGACCATGATTTCCCCATTTGGGCAGAAGTGGGACGTATGGCTGCTCTACTTCTAAAGCAGCGTGAGCGCCTGGATTTTGGTGTTAACCGCAGCTTTTGCAAACCTTTCAGAACCTGACTTCGGGCGTATTCGTCGTGCCCTGAGATGCATCCTTCCCACGTGCACACAGATCCATTGCTGTGTTTCCCTTCTTCGCACACACCCCCTCCCAAGTCGGGTTCCCTCATGCCGCCCCACTTAATGGCCGTTTTCTTTGCCCCCCACCCCGCCCCAATGGCAAAACTCCACCAAAGAGCTCTCGCTGCCCACGCTCTCCAGTCGTGCTCCTTTTTGAAAAGTTGTAGTAGGTCACACTTCTGCAAAAGAGTGTTAGAACGTTGCCTTATGTTTACAGTAAAGAGGAGTCAAAGAGGACCTCAGGAGCTGGGTGCCCCCCAGCCTACACACCTCCAGTGGCAGGAGTGACCCCCCAACTCAGCCACTGCTCCCCCGCTGTCCCCCGGCACTCACCTGAACACCATCAGGGCCATCCGGACTCTTCTCATAATCCCTTCATCCCTGTCACCGCGGCCAGCACAAGAGGCCTGGCACTCCCGGGCCACGTCTCACCTCCTGGCCTCACCCCCACATGCGTGTGTTCCCCTCATCCGCGTAACAAATCACAAGACACGTTTAGGCTTAAGACCACCGCCACCGTGGTCTTGTTCGTGTGTCTGAAATTTGGACAGGAATTTGCAGGGACAACCTGTTTCCTCCCCACATGGGGTGACCCAGCCGGCAGGCTGGTGGTCCCCTTCCAAGGCGGTTCCCTCTGGGCCGGCGAGGTGGTGCTGGCTGCTGATTTCTCTCCGCACAGGGTCTCTCCCGGGGGGCTGGGGGTGGTGGGCAGTTTGGGTTTCCTCCCCGCAGAGTCGCTCAGGTCCAAAGCTTTTGTGTAGGTGTCGGTAGCTGCCGTAACGAGCTGCCACAGACAGCAGCTAGAACAACAGACATGGATTATCTCGCGGTTCCGTAGTTTGAGGTCTGCGGTGGGGCTCACGGGTGCGGGCAGGGCTGTGGTCCTTTCTGGAGGCTCCAGGGGGGGAGTCCATTTCCCGTGCTGTCAGGCGGGCAGCAGAATTCAATTCCTCGCGGTCCGAGGACGGAGCTCCCCATGCCGAGCTGGCGGTCAGCGAGGGCCGTTCCCAGCTTCTAGAGGCACCTGCATTTCTCGCCTCGTGGCGCTCTTCCTCCTCTCAAAGCCGCACCTGTCCTGCCTCCTCGTCATTGTCATATTGCCCTGATCCGCTCTTCTGCCTTCCGCTTCCGCTCTCGGGGGGCCCGTGTGATCACGCCAGGCTCACCTGGGCAACCCCAGGTGCTCTCCCTATTTTGAAGTCCTTAATCCGCCATCAGTGTTCCTCTTGCCGTGCAACGCAGCGTTGTTGGTAGCTTCCCGGGAGCAGGGTGTGGACCCCTTTGGGGGCATCGCTCTGCCCACCGCTGTGTCCCAGAGACAGGAAGCCCCCACTTAGAGCATGGGCTCAGAAATTGTCCAAGTAGTTACCCCAGATTCAAGGGGACATACCTTCCCCTCATCCTAAAGGAGGAGGGTCAAGGAACGTGTGAGCCGGGTGTTAAAACCGCCACAGTCTCTGGCCACAAATTCTCTCTGTTCCTCCCACACGCAAAAGTCCCAATCCCGGAAGCCCCATCCTGTGCCAGCATCAGACACAGGCTTGAGCTCCAGGATCTCATCATCTGAATCAAGAGCGGTGCGGGGGCCTCGAGCTGACCACGCTCACAGGCAAGTTACCTGTCGATCGCACACCGAACATACAGCGGTGAGGCAGGCGCACGTACACGCAGTACCATTCGAAAAGCGGGGAGCGAGGCACACAGTCGCTGGTCCACAGAAATCCAGCTGGGCGCGGGTCCCCCTCTCTTGCTTAGGGACCAGTGCTGCCTCCTAGGACTCTGACAAGGTGTCAGGCTCTACCCTCTGGGCTCTATTCGCCCTCTGTGTCATTCTTTTCTGGAAGAAAACAGTTTGGAATCCAGCCTTCTCAGCCTGCTTCCTGCCCAGAAAAGGTTTGAGCTCCTGAGGGTTCTTCATTTTGCACCGTCTTCCCCTTGTGTCTGAGCTGGAGGTGTTTCCGCAAGAACAGTTTGCAAAGAATGAGAGGTCATCTCTGCGGCTGCATTTATTTATTTATTTTATTTATTTTTTTTTCAACGTTTTTTTATTTATTTTTGGGACAGAGAGAGACAGAGCATGAACGGGGGAGGGGCAGAGAGAGAGGGAGACACAGAATCGGAAACAGGCTCCAGGCTCTGAGCCATCCGCCCAGAGCCCGACGTGGGGCTCGAACTCCCAGACCGCGAGATCGTGACCTGGCTGAAGTCGGACGCTTAACCGACTGCGCCACCCAGGCGCCCCAATCTGCGGCTGCATTTAAAGAAATCTTTACCTCCTCGAGCTACAGGGTAGACCCAGGGAAGGATCAGGCTCAGGACTTAATTGTGGGCAAAGTATCCGAGTCGGCTGACTTCTCAGTCTGGGAAATTTCATCCACCAGAGTCAGGGCCTGACAGGGAACGACCAGGTCTTGAGAAATGGACACCTACCTATGGCACGAAGTGGATGTCATCTGATCCACCAAGAGCAAGGCTGGGCATGCCCCACAGTGATGCATTGCCGAGTAGAAATGGTATATAAGCTTGAACGTGAACTGGAAGCCATGAGTCAGTTGCATGTACAGGTGGCTCAGGGGCCTTTGAGATCGATTTTTGCTACATACTGTCTCCTTTTTAAATTTTTTTTTTTTTTTTTTTAATGTGGGGCGCCTGGGTGGTTCAGTCAGTTGAGCAAGCAACTTCGGCTCAGGTCATGATCTCGCAGTTCGTGACTTCGAGCCCTGTGTCGGGCTCTGTGCTGACAGCTCAGAGCCTGGAGCCTGCTTCTGATCCTGTGTCGCCCTCTCTCTCGGCCCACGCCCGCTTGTGCTCTGTTTCTCTCTTTCAAAAATGAATAAACATAAAAATTTTTTTTTAAATTTTTTTAAATTATTTTTGAGAGAGTGCACAAGCAGAGGCTGGAGGGCAGAGGTGGGGGGGGCGGGTGGGCAGAGGATCCAAAGTGGGCTCTGTGCTGACAACAGCAGTGAGTCCAATTTGGGGCTCAAACTCACGAAATGTGAGGTCATGACCTGAGCCGAAGTCAGATGCTCAACCGACTGAGCCACCCAGGCGCCCCTGCACTGTCTCCGTTAATCTACACCTGCAGTCCCTTGGGGGGCTTCTCATGAGTGGCAGAGAAAAAGCTCCAGCTTAGTTTCCAGGTGGTTCTGCATGATATGACGGCAACAGCCATCACGATACGCTGTCCCCCCGCGTAGACGGCTGCAGCCTTACAGCCCCACCCAAAGGTGACCCTGAAGGAAAGGCTGTGAAGGAAGATCTTCCCAGCGGGCTGAATGTTGAGTGGTACGTTTGCTTGGCCACTTTGGCCGGATTGAGAGATGGCCGGAGTACAAATGGACATGAACCTGTGGATGGTTGCTAACAGACTCCCAGCATGGCTGGATGGTCAGTGACTTGGAAAGAAAAGAATTGGAAACTTACTGACAAGGAGGTTTGGGGAAAAATATGTGGAGGGGCCCGTCTGCACGGATTCAGAGTGTGAAAAATGAGTCACGTGAGTGTTCACCAGGGGCACTGCCTGCAGGGGAGGGGGTAAGAGAGCATGTTCTGTTGGTGTCTGTCAGCCTCTGCCTAGCCACCCAGCGTTTCCTCCACGTGCCCACGTACAAGGTGCAAGATGGAGGGCTGTGCACACGCTCAGCAACGTAGAAGTCCTTCCCCAAGGCTGACCCGGTTGACATATGCTGCGTGCAGAACCTTCTGGAATGACTTGAGAAGGGGCTCTGAATTTTTGCCACTTCTCCCTTCCCTTGAACCCGGATGGGCTCATGACTGCCTTCACCGACAGAATATGCTGGAAATGACGCCTTAGTGTGGCTTCTAAGGCTAAGTCGTAGAGACCATTCAGCTCCTGCTGGGGCTCCTGGGATGCTTGCTGTCCAGATGTTCCCTCCTGGGAGGCCCCCTCTCGAGGCTCAGATGGAAGGCTGTGGGAGGTTCAAGCTGCAGAAAGAGGGCACGTGTGGGAACCCAGCTGAGCCCAGGCTTTGGGTCCCTGGGGCACCAGAATGTGAATGAAGAAATCTGCAGAGATTCCAAGCCCTGGCCATTGAGCCACGCCCCGGCCGTCCTCCTCTTTCCTGCTGAGGCCCTGGACATTGTAGACCCGAGACGAAAAGCAATGCCCGCCGTGTCCTCTGTAGATCCTGACCCACAGACCCATGAGCAGGACAAAAATGGTTGCCACACGCCAACAAGTTGGATAAGCGATTAAGTTTGCTGGAAGCACTGTGAACTGGGCAGGAAGCAGGCTGAGAAGGCTGGATTCCAAACTGTTTTCTTCCAGAAAAGAATGACACGGAGGGCGAATAGAGCCCAGAGGGTAGAGCCTGACACCTTGTCAGAGTCCTAGGAGGCAGCACTGGTCTGCTGCTGATGCGGTACCTTTCCCTGGGGACACCGGCCTGGTGGACGTTCGATTCTATCAGACCCCTTCCATCATGAAGGGAGTGGGGGGACTTGTCCTCCCTGGATGAGACACATACTCTGAAGAGGAGTTTGCCTTTTCCTTCCCATGATGCTTCTGCTGGCATTTATACGGTCAAGGAGTTCCACACCACACTGCTGCTTCTCCTTTTTTTTTTTTTTTAACATTTATTTATTTAAAAAAATTTTTTTAATGTACTTATTTTGAGAGAGAGAAAGACAGAGCACGAGTGGGGGAGGGGCAGAGAGAGAGAGGGAGGCACAGAATCCGAAGCAGGCTCCAGGCTCCGAGCTGTCAGCACAGAGCCCGACGCGGGGCTTGAACTCACGGACCGCAAGATCATGACCTGAGCCGAAGTCAGACACTCAACTGACTGAGCCACCCAGGCGCCCCTATTCCCAGGATGTTTATGGCAATGTTGCAAGGCTTTTGTCAAGGAGACCCGCCCCCCTCTTCCTTCGAGGACCCTGGGTCTGTGAACTGGCTCAGGTTTGGGAATTGAGTGAGAGTCTTGTAATGATTCAGGATAGATCTCTGTTTACCTTATCTAGAGATTTTCTAGTTATATAAATCAAATAATAATGCTTTAATAGGCTGCCTGTCATGGGCTGAATTGTGCCCCCTTTCCCAAAGATAAGCTGAAGTCCCTCCCACGGTCCCTGTGCCTGTGACCTTATTTGCAGATGTAATTACAATGCAAGTTAAGATGAGGTCATGCTGGAGGAGCATGGGCCCTTAATCCAATATGACTAGTGTCCTTATACAAAGAGGAGACGGACAGACACAGAGGAAAGATGACCATGTGACAATGACAGGGACAGGGATTCTATTATGCAGCTGGAAGCTAAGGGGCACCAAAGATTAGGACCAGCCACTAGAAGCTGGAAGAGGCGAGGAGGGACCCTCTCCTAGATCCCTCAAAGGGAGCGAGTCCCTGTCGACACCTTGATTTCCAACCTCCAGGCTCCAGACCCGCCAGACAAGAAATTTGTGTTGTTTTAAGCCCCCCAGT